CCAGCAGAGTGGTATGTTTGTTACAACTGATGAACCTATACTGACACATCATAATTACCCAAAATCCATATTTTGCATTATGGTTCACTCTCAGTGAGTGTTCATTCTATAGATTTGGAAAAAATGTATAATGATTGATAGACATATAAATATATAGCTAGGTAGATGATATAGATGGTTGATAATCATACAGATATTTATGATATATAGACATAAATCCGCTGTGGCCTGCCTTCTCATCACTCCCTATCCCTCAGCCTCTGAAAACCATTGATTTTACTGTCTTCATTGTTTTCCCTTTTCCAGAATGCCATGTAGTTGGAATTGTAAAATTTCAGATTGTTTTTTTCACTTAGTGATGTGCATCTAAGTTTCCTCTGTGTATTTTCATGGCTTGATAGCTCATTTATTTTTAGCACTGAATAATATTCTATTTTCTAGAAGTATCATAGATTATCCATTTACTTACTAATGGGTATCTTAGCGGCTTCTAAGTTTGGGCAATTATGAATAAAGCTGCTATAAAGATCCGTGTGCAGGTTTTTGCGTGGACATGTTTTCATCTCATTTGGGTAAATACCAAGATGAGTGATTGCTGGATCGTATAGTAAGAATGTGTTTAATTTTGCAAGAAACTGCCAAACTGTCTTCCAAAGTTGCTATACCATCTTGCATTCTACCAGCAACAGATGAGAGTTCATTTTGCTCCACATCCTCATCAGCGTTGGGTGTTGTCATGTTCCAGGATTGTGTGCAGTGGTGGTATCTCCTTATTGCTTTAATTTACATTTTCCTGATTACACAAGATGTGGATCATCTTTTTGCGTGCTTATTTGCCATCTCTGTAGTATCTTGGGTGAGGTGTCTGTCAAGATCTTTGGCCCATTTTTTAATATTGTTCTTTTTCAGATTGTTGAATTCTAAATTTTTGTGTATTTGAGTTGACAATCCTATTTACATGTGTTTTCTCAAATCTTGTCTCCCTGTATGTGCCTTGTCTTCCATTTCCTTGACATTATGTTTTGAAGAGCAGAGGTTTTTAATTTTAATGAAGTCCAGCTTATCTGTTATTTTTTCATGGAGTGTGCCTTGATGTTGTATCTAAAAGATCATTACTAAACCCAAAGTCATCTAGATTTTCTCCCTGTTACATTCGGAGTTTTAATGTTTTGCCTTGTGCATATAGGTCCACTCTCAATTTTGAGTTCATTTAAGTGATGAATGTAAAGCCTGTGTCTAACATGGCATGAGGAAGAATTGAAATGTGTTAGCTGTTGTCACTTCTGAGCTCAGGTTTACTGGTGTCCTATAAAAGCTTGGACATTTTGCCACAGAGCTAAACATTGATAACTGGATTTGGAGTTGGAGAAGATGAAAAAAGATCCAGGTGAAAATGGAACAATTACCAACAAAATAAACCCAACCATCTCCCACCAACAAGGTAAACCAGCAGATAAACACAACCTGTGTGAGCTACCAATGGCTTCTGCTTTATTCTGTTCCCCAAATATCCCAAATAATCTGTCTGGTGGTTCACCGTAACGGGAAACAAACAGGGAAGGGACATCCTAGAGAAATAGTTCAGCCCAGCCACATTGAAACACTACAACGCCTTCAGAGATATATTGCCAGAGTGCCTAAGGAAACTTTTGAAGTTCATTATCTTGATTTCAGCAATGGTTTCACAGGTATATACAGGTATCAAATCTCAAGTTATAAACTTTATTGGATGCATTTTATTTTGCACAAATTGTAACTCCATAAAATTGTAAAAATAATTAAACAAGGAAAAATAAAACAACAGCAACAAGACCTGCAACCCAGCCTGAACTTAACTCAGATTCTAATTGAATTAAGAGACTCAGTTATTATTTCCTCTTATTATTCTCCTGGATGTCCTAGGCTTCCTCCATCCCGACTAACTTTTTTTCCCCCTATCTTCTGCAGATTTTCAAGTACTTCAACATAATGTTCCTGGATTTTTGATTGGTTGGTTGGTTGATTGATTTTCTTTTGTGTTTTAATTTAATCAGTGATTAACAGAATTTTGTCTGTTTGAAAAGCAGTCACCTCTGTCAATAGTGTTCAGCTACGTATCATTATGTGATCTGTCTTCTGAAATTGAGCAGCCACCATAATGTGACATAATGTTTTGGATAACTGCGATTGTTGTACTGATGATGTGGAAAACAAATAATCAAGTGAACTAATGAGTCAGTTACCTGTCAGTCTAAATAACTAACACAGTATCTAACTTACTCACCTGTTAACATCAGCCATGTGTCAGGTACTTAGGTGGTTTTTTTCTGATGAAATTATGGCAGGTGTATATGAACTAACAAGTTCTACATTTTCAATCGTCTTTCCCCATGGCTTCCCAGGCCACTGTTTTAGTATTTCTGCTACTTAATAGAATCTGCATCTAATGATGGGTGAGTAAAGAATTCAAGAGAACAAATTTAACTATATGCTTTAATAAAAGTTTGTTAATATATGTAGGATTCAATTTTCTTCATCTGTACATTGAAAGGATTAAAGTAGAAACATTTATAGCTTCTTTAATTCATTATTTGGCTTCTTTAAATATGAACAAGCAATGTTCAGAAAATATCAGCTTGTGATGGACATTCTGCCTGAGGAGATCAGATTACAAAAATGTAAAGTTTAGCATGAAATTTAGAAAGAATATGATTTAAGCTTACAAGATTATTAACACCATAGATACTGTTAATATAGGTTTGTTTCATACGCTTGTTAAAGAGAACCAGAACAATGATTAGGCACATCACTAAATTGTAAGAATTTGCCATAATGATATGTCGCTAATTAACCTAAATTTGAATCATCCTTTTACCTCTTTTCTGGATTCACTCAGAGTTTAATGTGTGTATAAATCATTATTAACCAATTTTCCTGTCAGTTTGAAAACAAACAGGTATAATTCTCAATGGGGAAGCACTGGGAGCCTTTCCCCTAAGATCAGGAACAACACAGGGATGTCCACTCTCACCACTGCTATTCAACATAGTACTGGAAGTCCTAGCCTCAGCAATCAGACAACAAAAAGACATTAAAGGCATTCAAATTGGCAAAGAAGACGTCAAACTCTCCCTCTTCGCCGATGACATGATACTCTACATAGAAAACCCAAAAGACTCCACCCCAAGATTGCTAGAACTCATACAGCAATTTGGCAGTGTGGCAAGATACAAAATCCATGCCCAGAAGTCAGTGGCATTTCTACACACTAACAATGAGACTGAAGAAAGAGAAATGAAGGAGTCAATCCCATTTACAATTTCACCCAAAAGCATAAGATACCTAGGAATAAACCTAACCAAAGAGGTAAAGGATCTATACCCTAAAAACTATAGAATTCTTCTGAAAGAAATTGAGATAGACACAAAGAGTGGAAAAATATTCCATGCTCATGGATTGGCAGAATTAATATTATGAAAATGTCAATGTTACCCAGGGCAATTTTCGCATTTAATGCAATCCCTATCAAAATACCATGGACTTTCTTCAGAGAGTTAGAACAAATTATTTTAAGATTTGTGTGGAATCAGAAAAGACCCTGAATAGCCAGGGGAATTTTAAAAAAGAAAACCATATCTGGGGGCATCACAATGCCAGATTTCAGGTTGTACTACAAAGCTGTGGTCATCAAGACAGTGTGGTACTGGCACAAAAACACACACATAGATCAATGGAACAGAATAGAGAACCCAGAAGTGGACCCTGAACTTTATGGTCAACTAATATTCGATAAAGGAGGAAAGACGATCCACTGGAAGAAAGACAGTCTCTTCAATAAATGGTGCTGGGAAAATTGGACATCCACATGCAGAAGAATGAAACTAGACCACTCCCTTGCACCATACACAAAGATAAACTCAAAATGGATGAAAGATCTAAATGTGAGACAAGATTCCATCAAAATCCTAGAGGAGAACACAGGCAACACCCTTTTTGAACTCGGCCACAGCAACTTCTTGCAAGATACATCCACGAAGGCAAAAGAAACAAAAGCAAAAATGAACTATTGGGACTTCATCAAGATAAGAAGCTTTTGCACAGCAAAGGATACAGTCAACAAAACTCAAAGACAATCTACAGGTTGGGAGAAGATATTTGCAAATGATGTATCAGATAAAGGGCTAGTTTCCAAGATCCATAAAGAACTTATTAAACTCAACAGGAAAGAAAGAAACAATCCAATCATGAAATGGGCAAAAGACATGAAGAGAAATCTCACAGAGGAAGACATAGACATGGCCAACACACACATAAGAAAATGCTCTGCATCACTTGCCATCAGGGAAATACAAATCAAAACCACAATGAGATACCACCTCACACCAGTAAGAATGGGGAAAATTAACAAGGCAGGAAACCACAAATGTTGGAGAGGATGCAGAGAAAAGGGAAGCCCCTTACACTGTTGGTGGGAATGTGAACTGGTGCAACCACTCTGGAAAACTGTGTGGAGGTTCCTCAAAGAGTTAAAAATAGACCTGCCTACGACCCAGCAATTGCACTGTCAGGGGATTTACCCCAAAGATTCAAATGCAATGAAACACCGGGACACCTGCACCCCGATGTTTCTAGCAGCCATGTCCACAATAGCCAAAACTGTGGAAGGAGCCTCGGTGCCCATCGAAAGATGAATGGATAAAGAAGATGTGGTCTATGTATACAATGGAATATTCCTCAGCCATTAGAAACGACACCATTTGCTTTGACATGGATGGAACTGGAAGGTATTATGCTGAGTGAAGTAAGTCAATCGGAGAAGGACAAACAGTGTATGTTCTCATTCATTTGGGGAATATAAATAATAGTGAAAGGGAATATAAGGGAAGGGAGAAGAAATGTGTGGGAAATATCAGAAAGGGAGACAGAACATAAAGACTCCTAACTCTGGGAAACGAACTAGGGCTGGTGGAAGGGCAGGAGGGCGGGGGGTGGGGGTGAATGGGTGACGGGCACTCTTCTCTTTATTTTCTGGAAAGAGAGAAAATCTTTTGGCGTGCATCCTTGAAGGCTTGTTTAACTTGCTGGTTTCTGAGACTGTAAATAAAAGGGTTTAATAAAGGGGCAACCGAGGTATAAATAACACTTACACCTTTGGACAAAGTCACCCTTTCCTTCGCTGTTGGCTTTATGTAATTAAAGATGCAGCTACCATACGTAAGGGAGACCACAATCATATGAGAAGAACAAGTAGAAAAAGCCTTGGTTCTTTTCTGAGCAGAGGGGATCTTGAGAATGGTCTTGATAATGTATGTGTAGGAAAGAATCAGTAACAGTAAGGTCACCAGAAGTGTTACAATAGCTAAGGCAAACGAAAGCAATTCCAAGAAACGAGTGTCAGTGCAGGAAAGCTGCAGCACAGGGGAAATGTCACACATGAAATGATCGATTACTCTGGAAGCACAGAAATCCAGCGTGAGGCCCACAGCCAATGGTGAAAACGACAGCAGAAAGCCCACGGCCCATGAGCTGAACAGGAGTTGGTAGCATATTTTATTGTTCATGATGATCGGGTAGTGCAGGGGTTTGCAGATTGCTACATAACGGTCAAAGGACATGGCAGCCAGCAGGTAAAATTCTGCAATTTCTAATTGGAGGAAAAAGAATAACTGAGATGCACAACCATCGTAGGAAATGACTTTGTTTTTAGTCATGAGGCTTATCAGGAATCTGGGAATACAGACTGTTGTCAGTGAAGCTTCCATAAAGGAGAAATTTCGGAGGAAAAAATACATGGGAGTCTTGAGGCTGGGATGTAGCAGGGTGAGAAGGATGATGGTCAAGTTTCCGGTCATGCTCAGCACATAGTTGATGAAGAGAAACGTAAAAATCACAATTTGTAGTTGTGGGTCATCGGTCAGTCCCAGGAGAATGAACTCGATCTTTGTTGACTGATTCCTCATTTTAGACATGAGGCTTATGAAATTGGCATTGGAGAACAACTCCAGAAGTGGACACAAGAGGATTTTTTAAAAGCTACAGAAAAAAAAAATATATGTAATCAGAAATTCAAGCAAGTTTAGAAAGTTGATCCAATTTAACAAGACAGATAATACTTAAAATTCTAACACAGGTTAACCTAGGCACCTCTGAGTGCTGGTTCCATTGAAGTGACAGGTATGATAATGAGACTATTAAATTTTTTTCTTGTCCCTTTTTGAACCTGAAAGATAATGTAAACTTTAGCTGATTATTTCTAAAAGAATTGAATTCTGTTTTAATGTTCTAAATAGACAGAAAATTGCTTGACTTTACAATGTATTTTCTATGAATAGCTTAAGACTTTTTTATGCAAATATAAAACTTTAAAAACTTGTTTCTTTTTTTTATTGGATTCAATTTGCCAACATATAGCATATCACCCAGTGCTCATCCCGTCAAGTGCCCCCCTCAGTGCCCGTCACCCAGTCCCCCCACCCCCCGCCCACCTCCCTTTCCACCACCCCTTGTTCCCAATGTTTATTACAGCAATGTCCACAATAGCCCAACTGTGGAAGGAGCCTCACAACAAATAGCTTAAGAATTACTGAAAAAATTCTGGTAACATCTTGAAAATTAGTACCAACGTCAACTTGCAATATTGATACAGAACTACTTAGCTCATTAAAACAATTTAAAAATTTGTGAAATATACAAATCATGGCAGTTACATATTTTCTCTATGATTGAAATATTCTGATATATACCATTATTTTGTCCCTATGCAGTAATTTCCCATTGTTCCTATATCTCATTTCACTCTTATTATTTTTCTTTGATTTCAAATACATCAGTCATCTCTTATCAGTTACATTTAATCATGAAATTTTGACTGTTGCATATACATAAAAATGGAAGACTATATGACAGTTCAAAAGTCAGTGGATATTACCTGACTCTTACTTGCGGGAATGCTCTCATTTATGACCTAGGTGTGTACTATAAGTGACTTACCCTATCTAGGATACATTGATATAATTTTCCCACTATGGGGATATGGAGGAAACAGGGGTCAAAAAGAAATGATGAATATTCTCTCTCTTATAATATTGTAAAAAAATCAATAATTTAAGAGGAAAGTTAATTGCAAAGCTTTTCTCCAGAAGTATTCTAAAAACAGATATGAAAAATAAATAAATAATAAATAAAATAAAATAAAATAAAATAAAATAAAATAAAAACAGATATACATTCTAGAAATTCTATGCATCTGTTTATAACTTTCACTTCCACTTACACCCATTAAAATGATGGGACCCAGTTATTACAAATAATTGGATTCCTCTCTCTGGCCAGGTAAAATTTATTTTCTGTCTTCTTTTCTTATATATTAAAATGAAGGAAAATATCTCCATAAAAATTCTACATGAAAATATCATGCTGTAAATGGGAAATCTCGCATATAAACAGAACCCAAAGTTTTTTTTTTGAACCCAAAGTTTTTAACAACGAATTCTTGCTTCAAATTGTGCACTAGCAAAATGCAGAGTTTTATCATTTTGTTCGTAAGAGACACAAGGGATTAATTAAAACAGAAGAAAAGGAAAGAAAAAGAAATGCCCCTGGAGACTAGTGTCAGGAATAATATTATTTGTGTAAAAGATAAAACAACAACCAAAACAAACAAACAAACAAACAAACAAAACAAACAAGGAAGGAAGGAAATTAAAAGTACTATGAATCACTTTCAGCAAAAAGCTGAATTTAACTACAAAACAAAACAGATATTCTCCCAAAAGAGAACTAGAGATAACTTAAACCCTACACTTAATGCCAACACAAATTTCAGATATTCCATTGCCCTGAGTTAGTTTGACCATATGTAGCTTTAAGAGGGTTTACCCCAAAAGGAAACTTTTCTTTTGCTTCCTTAGTCAATGTCAAGATTTCATTAGCTGGGGACCTAATACCTCAAATTGAAGGTGTACTGAAGTACTTAAATGTTTTGCTATTTTTTAAAGTTTTGAAACAATAGAAAATATAAAGAAAAAAATGAACAAATACACCATGAATATATTTTACACCAGCACCATTTGATGCTCCGTCTGCCATTCAATATAATGGTACGTATTTATAACAAGAATATTCTATGCAGAAGCTTTTTATTTTGATGAAGTTCCAATAGTGTATTTTTGCCTTTGTATCCTTGCCCCAGGAAAAATGTTGCTATAGTTGGGATGCCTGGGTGGCTCAGTTAAGGGTCTGCCTTTGGCTCGAGTCATGATCCTGGGGTCCTGGGACTGAGTCCTGCATCAGGCTCCCTGCTCAGAGGAGAGTCTGCTTCTCCCTCTCCCTCCGTCGCTCCCCTTGCTTGTGCTCTCTCTCAAATAAATAAATAAAATCTTAAGAAAAATGCTGCCATGGCCAAAGTCAGAGAAATTAATTCCAGTGCTCTTTTCTAGGATTTTTATGGTTTCAGGTGTCACTGTTAGGTCTTTAATCCACTTTGAGTTTATTTTTATGTACGGAGTAAGAAAGTGATCCAGTGTCATTCTTTTGCATGTAGCTTTCAAGTTTTCCCAACCCCACTGGTGGAAAAGATGATCTTCCCACCGCCTGTTTTTGTCTCCTTTGTCAAAGAGTAATTGAATCATGGTTTGTTTCTGGGCTTTTTATTCTGTTCCATTGATCTATGTGTCTACTTTCCTGCCAGCACCATACTGTTTTGATGACGAAAACTGTGTAATATGTTAATATAATATTTTAATATATAATAATATAATATTTTATAATTATAATATTTATAATATTTTTTACAATTAATATTGTAATTTTAAGTCTGGAATTGTGATAACTCTAATTTTACTACTAGTTTTAGCTATTCAGTTTTTTTGTGGTTACATACAAATTTAGGGTTTTGGGGTTTCTTAGTTTTTTTGAAAAATACTGTTAGTATTTTGATAGAGATTGTATTAAATGTGTAGGTTGCTTTGGGTAGTATAGACATTTTACCAATATTCGTTCTCCCCACCCAGGAGCATGGAATATCTTGCCATTTGTTTGTATCATCTTCAATTTCTTTCATCAGTCTTTTGTAGTTTTCAGAGTACAGGTCTTTCACCTTCTTAGTTAAGTTTGTTCCTAGATATTTTATTGTTTTCAGTGTGGTCGTGAATGGGATTGTTTTCTTAATTTCTCTTTCTGTTGCTTCGTTATTGATGTATAGAAATACAACAGATTTCTGTGCATTGATTTTGTATCCTGTGATCTTAATGAATTCATTGATCAGTTGTAGTCACTTTTTGGTGAAGTTTTTGGGATTTTCTCCATATAGTATCATGTCTTTTGCAAATGGTGAATTTTACTTCTTTTTTATAAATTTACATGGCATTTATTCCCTTTTCTTGTCTGATTGCTGTGGCTAATACATCTAATACTACGTAGAATAGAACTGGTGAGAGGGAACTTCCTTGTCTTGTTATTGACCTTAGGGGAAGAGCTCATTATTTCCCCATTGAGTATGATATTAGCTGTTGAGAATATGGCATTTATTTTGTTGAGGTATGTTCCTTCTACATCTATTTTGTTGAGCGTTTTATCATGAAATGGATATTATAGTTTTTCAATAATGTGTTAAGGGTTTTTGCATCTATGTTCATCAGGGATATTGGCCTGTAGTTTTCTCTTTTGTGGTGTCTTCATCTGGTGTTTGTATCAAAGTAATGCTTTCCTTCCTCTTCTATGTCTTGGAAAAGTTTGAGAAGAATAGGTCTTAACTCTTCTTTAGAATGTTTGGTAGAATTCACCTGTGAAGCCGTCTGGTCCTGGACTTTTGTGTGCTGGGATTTTTAAAATTATTGATTCAGTTCATTGCTTATAATTGTTCTGTTCAAATTTTCTTTCTTCCTGTTTCAGTTTTTGTAGCTTTTATGTGTTGAGATATTTATTCATTTCATTTCATTTAGGTTGCACAATTTTGGGGCATACAATTTCTTCATAATCTTTTATAAATCTTGTGTTTCTGTGTTGTCAGTTGTTATTTCTCCTCTATCATTTGTGATTTGTTTATTTGAGTCTCTTTTTTTTTTAAATGAGTCTGGTTAACAGTTTACAAAATGCATAGATCTTAAAAAAAACAAACTAGCTCATTTTTTCCCCCTTAGGTTCTATTTTATTTATTTCTGCTCTAATCTAATGTGTTAAACTTCCTCATTACTATAGCATACTTATTTGTGTTTTGAATACTTTTCTATGTATTACTCAGCACCATATAAAATGGGCCACATAAAGTGCCCAACACCTGACTCCGTGGGGTACTTATTCTATTTTGTCCTGAAGAAACTATCTAAAGATTACAAAGATTTCTCAGAATGATATGGTTTCAAAGAAGTTTATTCCTCAATGGACACAAACTTATATGTTATGTAAGAATTCTCCCCAGGAACTAAAAATTTTTAAATTAAAAAATATATTTAAAAACCCCTACTATTTACTGTGAATTCAGTATAGATTTCCATAATCTGCTCTTCTGCACAGTCATTTTAATTAATTAATTATTTCACGCACATTTAAAAAAATCCTTGAGTTCCAGATATATAGATAAGGATTTAAAGACAGAAATAAAAAGATTTAGTTGATGCATTTCCTACATATCCTCAGTTTCTTTTCTGAAAGCTGTCTTTACCCCAAATAGTCTTTGTGATATGATTCAGTGATCTTAAACTGACATTTAAAATACCCAAGTAGACAGAACATAAAGACTCCTAACTCCGGGAAATGAACTAGGGGTGGTGGAAGGGGAGGATAGCGGGGGGTAGGGGTGAATGGTGACAGGCACTGAGGGGGGCACTTGACGGGATGAGCACTGGGTGCTATTCTGTATGTTGGCAAATTGAGCACCAATAAAAAATAAATTTATTATTAAAAAAATAAAATACCCAAATATTCTTCACTTTGTATTAATGGAATATTTATCTATGTCCAT